AAAAATACCAAAGATAAGAAGTGCCGAACCGCATCAACCGCGCGCAATTGGGCGCTACCGACCTGAATATCGTGATTCATACCGGTATGGATATTGAAAACGCTGATACCCGTACGCGTATAACCGATCGCTGAAATCTTGGGACTGAGCGAGATGCCATAAACTGAATTGAAGTCGGTTATGGAAGTGGATTCTGGCGGGCGACTGGTTATCGCCAGGAAGACTGGCGACAACGAAGTGTTCCTGTTTCGCTAAGCAATGACAGGATGCGACTTCGATATAACGAAAACAACAGCAACTCGCGCGTCGTTTATCGGAGACGATCGGCATCTGGAACGCGAAACTCACGACTTCGCCTTCGAACAGGCGCGGCAGAAGATATATAACGCTGGGCGGCGAAAGGCGGATAGCGCTGAACATTTCGCTGATTTATGATGGCGCTATCATTTGGCGGCAATACGTTCGGATACCGGCGCGCTCGGCATACTGGATAACCGATAAACAGATGCGCAACTCGCAATCAGATGGCGATATCGCTCGACGCTATCGAACTGCTTCGACATCTTGATGAACCACGAACACCGGCGCTGGAATGGGCAAACCTGTTCAAACCGGGTTTCAGACCGTCAACGAACATAGCCCCAACGGTATTCTGGCGAACTCGCTGGGTATATTGGTGATAACATCATTGCTGCATAGATTTGCGATATTAATACCTCGACTGGCATTCGCGGCTGATAATCATCGGTTACGCCGCTGCAATTACAGATGAAACTGAGCACAATACCTAAACGGACACAGGGAAAGACGGTTTCGTTTTCGCGGCGGAATCTGGAACAATCATCGACTGACGCCTTGACGGCGCTGGATAAAGATCGACGCGTCGGTGGCGCAACTGGAAGATTAACGAAGGGCGGCTCTGAGTTGATTCGTTGAACAACGAACTGACGGCAGACTTTACGGCACCGTCACCTGGAACACCAGACTGCCATCCTTTAACGCAGGGCGCTACTGTTTCCGTGACTGGTGATTTTGCGTTGAACGATTATCGATTTCGGATGAACTTCTTCGCGTTCCGCTGGGCACTTGTGGAAGGAATACGAACTACAACGGGGACGTTTACGGTTGATTTCTGGCTGGATGCGATGACTGACGTAATTGCTTTCGATCACGTAGGCAGCAATCTTCTCTGGCTCTTCGTCGATGATTGATGATACGACTTCGACGACTGAAACGCTGACGGAACTGGCTCTCATCACCTTCATCGTTCGCTGGGCTGAAGGCCGGATTCGAGGACTGCTGTTCGACTTCTGACTGACGTTTCTTTACTGACTGAAAACTTTAACGATTCGGAACTGATGATACGGTGTCGACGTCTGACCTGTTTGACCGGAATTCAGATGGAAGCATGATTGTTGGAACTGGGCGACGACTGGACTGATATTGGGCTGATGATGATTTCATAATCGATCATACCGTCTGCTATGACGATCGTCGATGACTGGATAACGGGCACGTTCTGGTTTTCTCTACGTATCTCGACGCTTTGTTTTAATGATCTTCGGGCGTTTGATTCGATGCGATGAATCGATGATTCGATATCGATCATGATCAACGATATCGATGATCATGCTCCTTTCTTCCTTCCTTTCACTGTCCATTGTCCTTCCATTCCTTCCTTCATTTATCCTTCTTTATTTCGGCTTTCCATTTCTTTTCATTCCTTTCCATTCCATTTCTGTGCTGTATGGCTAGGCTCCACTGGGCTGTGTTTCTTTCTTCATTCCTGGCCTTTCTGGTCCTTTCATTTCTTTCATTTCTTCTTCCTTTCCACTGCCCTTCGTTCTCCTTTCTTTCTTCCTTTCTTGTGTCTTTCTTCCTCCATGAACTGTTTCTTCTGTTCTGTTCCTTTCTATTTTCTTCCTTCCTTGTTCTTCCTTCTTTCTTCTTTATTTCTTCGTTGTGTCTTCCATTTCTTCTGTGCCTTTGTGTGTTCCTGTGTTTCTGTGTGGCTGTGGCTGGCTGTTCGGTGTTCGTTGTGTGTCAGTTCTTCGTTCTTCCATTTCTGGCTGGGGCTCTTCCTGGGTGTTCGTTCGGCTGTGGTCCTTGTGTTCCGGCTGGTCGGGCTGGCCGTTCGGTGTTCGGTCCGGCTGTTCGTTCGGTTGTGTTGTGTCGTCGTTGTCGTTGTTCCGGCTGTTCTGGTGGATGTGGACAGTTCTTCATGCTGGTGCTGAATTCTGCAACTTATCGCCTGGAATTCTTTCGCGGGCACCTGGCAAACTCAGATCAATGGTTCGTGACGGCAGGATTGCGGCAAATAGTTCGTATTGGGCTTCATTGGCGCCATTGCATCTGCCATTAAGCGCTTTGGCTGGATGGTGCGGCGGGAAGTGAAGAACTCTGCATGGGCCTTTAAACTGGCGAGGCCAAAGACGGTACGGAGCGCAGGAGGCACTGGCAGGAAGGATAACCATGCTGTGACCGAAAGGCATCGCTCTAATGTGGAAGGGCAACCGTTTCGGAGGCCAGGGGTTCGAGCTGCAACGAAAAGGCAATGGCTGCTGAAAAGAACCTTTGAAACCCTTTGGCTGCAAACCTTAAAATTTAAACATATCAGCGTTGACTGATGACAAGCTGGTAATTCGATGGCAGGGTTATTAGCGTAAATGCGGAAGCAGGCGTCGCTCAACACCGTATTGCGGTCATCGCCATCGCGCGGCGCGGTAACGCTCGCTGTGGCTGAAACCGGCGACTTTGCGTCGTTGCTCTTAACAACAGATGGTAGACTGTTAAACCTTAAACTGCGGGCTGCATTTATTTTGCGGGCTTCGCGACATGCGATCGCTGCGGCAGGAATGTTTCTGCTGCGGCGACTTCTACGAACAACGAAATTTGCCGCGCTGACCGGTACCGATACGTGCGGCTGGCTGGTATTCGCGGCAGGCGGCATGTTCTTTTCTTGGAACGGCTGAACTGGCTGAACGGCGTCGCCGACGAGCTGGCAGAATGCTGCGTTTGATTGAACGCTATGGCGCTAAAGTTTGGGAACTAACGCGGCGTATGGCGTTGTTAAAGTGCATCGGCGCGCGATGGCAACGAACTGAACCTTTATGCTGGCGACTGGCTGAACGCGAAACTTCGGTGGCGGCGGGCATTCATGACGGAGCATGTTGCAGATGGCGACGCTAAACTGGAATATGGGCCGGTTTCGCAGGCTCGAAGGTATTGGCAGATGACTGGGCGAGCAGAACAACTGCTGAAGCAAAACGTGGGAATAACGTTCGAACTGGCAATAAACATATCAGGCTACCTGGTAACCTTCAAACTACCGAAAGAAAAAGGTTTGCAAACTCATAACCTTCTGCTGCTGTTATGCAGTTTCAGAGATGAACTACAAGGCGCTGGAAACAGACGCTGGTGCAACTGGTATAACGCTGGCTTGTTTCTGGGCTGCCAAATTCTTTGGCGCGGTTTGTTGTTTGCCAGCGTACGGTATGAAAGCAGGCTGTTTGGAAGTCTCCGGGCAACATTCGCTGCCGGCGGGCACTGCGGACGAGGAAACGATGACTGGCAACTGGCTGGGCTGCGGGCTGCGCGGAGCGTGGAAAACGCTGATGCGGAACGCTGGAAACGCTGGCGGCGACTGGGCATGACGGCGGCTGGGGCTGGCGCAGCATAGATGAAGGACTGGCGGCGCAGATCGCGAACGATGCTGATGGCTGGAAAAGGCTGATGGAAGAAGGAAGACGGTACGCTGCCGGAGACTGATGCGGGGCGTAACAACGCTGACATGGAATAACGACGACGCTTCGAAGACGAAGGTCTGACGGAATGACAACTTCAGCGACTTTCTCGACGCGAAAATCAACAAACTCGATGTTGGAAAACATTCTGGTTATGATTACAACGAACTTCGACGAAGAATTCTGGCGAACAACGCTGACGCTGAACGCTGACAGAACTGACGACTCGCCCTCGCCAGACGCTGAAACGCCAAGCGCCTTTCAGAACCAGATCGCAAAATCGAACCGTCGTTTGCGGAATTCGACGCTGAAAGCTGCCGGAAATCGAACTGAACTGGCGGAATTCGATTCGGACGGTCCGGGCGATGAAAGCCAGGCGTGGCGTTCTGAAGAACAAACTGCTGCGGACTGAAACAAGGACTGGATACTTTGGAATTTGCTGAACTATGACGGCACTGCTGATTACGCCAGCTCTGGAAAACGGCATAATCGAACTTCGAACAGCTTTGACTTAAAACTGAAGGCGTTTTGGTGCATGTCGCACGATATGAAATATGACATACTGGACCGATGACGGACGATATAGCAAAGTTGTTTGAACGCTGATCGTTAAACCTTCGCGCATATTTGTGCTAACGCTGGCAACGGCGTATCTTGACTGGCAACCATTGGCGCATCGCCAACGACCGAACTACCGCGGTGATCTCATCGACGGTTTTAATCTGCGCTGCGCGGTTCTTCGGCATTTCGGTGCAGTTTTCTTTGAGCGTATTGAAGGGACTGCGCCGATGACCCAGAATCAAAACGGAACTTAGCGTGCTACTGAACGTTAATTGTCGCTGCGTTCGCCACGCTGACCTTTTGATGTTAATTTCTGCTTTGTTTCCTATATGTACTGTTCACTACTCGGAAAACCATTCAACTATTAACGTTAAATGGAACGTTAAGACAACAAAAAATACGTTAGAATCTAATAACTTTCATTGTGACGACGTAAAAATGACGTATCACAACGTTGTGACAACGTAAATAAGAGCCCACAGAATAAAGTTGTAAAAACGACGTTGTGTGAACGTTGTGACGACGTACAATTGCTAGCTGGACAGTCCTTTTTATTCTTTTATGACTAACGACGACTACAACAAAAAGCACCGTCTTTTAGCATCTTGTAGTATAAAGCGTTCAGGGAATGTGTCCACATGCAGTCGGTTTACTATCAGGGTGCATTTCGTAACAACCTGTCATACCTACCAACGGATCTTAGCTGAACTGGTCTCTGACGGAGGTCGGCAATGAACTTCCTGTGGCTGGGATACATGTATTGGAACACCGTCTCAGTATACTCGTGTCGATCTGATAAATCACAACACATGTTTAGTTTGCCTGCTCCTTTGTTGTTTAACCACACTAAACAATGTTCTAGCTATATAATGACTGCTAGTAAATAATCGGGTCTGTTCCAGATCAAGGGATTGGTATCACAAGCAATGGGATTCACAGAAAGCTATGAACCAGCGAGCCTGTCTAGCCTATCCAATCAGACGCGTCTCGATCCAGTATTCGCCAAGTAAAACTATTTTAACATCACTCTCGCGAATCATGCATACAAAGTTACTATACCATAGGCGGATCAGACAGCAACACCACCACACACACACACACACACACATACACACTCCTGTAAGTTTATCAAATGACCAATGAAACTTTCGAAAATGAACTGCATACTCCCCCTTTCTGAACTGTGCCCTTGGGGTGAATATTCTTTGTATGTAATCTCCCAATATAAGACGAGTATAGGGATGACACACAAAAGGTAAGGTGTGTTGTTCAGTCTCCATCCATCCATCCTGACCATGACCCTGCACTCCTCCTTGACCACCTCAACAGTCAATATGACCGAATTCAATTTGCCATGGAGACTGAACAACAACACACCTTGCCTTTCCTCGATGTTTCCCTCCACAACTCGCCTGACAAGATCACTACATCAGTCTACAGTAGCCAACCCACACCGACCAATACATCCATTACCTGTCCAATCATCACCCCCAGATTAAACGCGCCATAATATCAACTCTAACAAGAAGAGCCAAATCCACCTGTGATCCCGTCAAATTACGCGCTGAGATAGATCACCTCAAGAAAACTTTCATCACCCTAAACGGCTATCCCCAAAACCTTGTTGAGCAGACCATAGCTAAAACTCTCAACCAGCAAAACCAACGCCCACCAAAAAATGAACGATCGCCAATCAGGATCAGCATCCCCTACCAAGGCCAGATTAGTCATCACATCAGCAGGCTTCTCAGAAAAACTACAAGCATAGACGTGACATTTTATTCGGACAAAACTTTGAAGACCATCCTGAAGGCAAATGGACGAGGTACCAGCAACCAGACTACGCACAAACCTCGAGGCTGCATATACCAACTAAACTGCAACTGTGGCAGTAGCTACATTGGAGAGACATCACGCCCCTTTGATATACGACTCAAAGAACACAAAACATCTGTTGAAAAAGCCGACAACAAATCAGCCCTTTCAGAGCATACAAATAACAACCCCACCCACTCCATTGACTGGCAACAGACTAGCATCTTGGCTACCGATGTTCACGATTGGCGCAAACGGAAAATACTAGAAGGTGTATACCTCTCTAGTGCCTGGAACATCACAAAAGCCGCCTCTATTGTCATTTAATTAGCTGTATATCACTCTGCTGTGTACACGTAAACTTATAATTGAAGTCATTATTGGTTGTATATAGATGTACATCTCTGGCTTCCTGTAAATCTAATTATCACTTCATTAGCTGTATTCACATCTTATTCTCATTGTTTGTGTCAACTGGCTTTACTTTATCCCTATTATCATTGGTTTTATACTGCTTTTCATCGGTCCTCTCTGATTCATTGTATATACATGTGCTTCTCTGGCTTCCTGTAAATTCTGGTATATATAGTATGTTTTGTATATAGTATGTCTTTATATCACCTGAGGAAGGGGTAAGAAGTAGCCCAGAAACGTCGTGTTATACAATAAAGAAGAAGTTGTCATCCATATACTCGTCTTATATATTCATCAACTTCTAAATGCCTCTCAAGAATCTAATCTCCCGATGCTACATTGCTTAGAACTAAACTCGACCGATAGCCAGTCTGTGCACAAATGGCTGACATTGGACCAGCACATAATTATGAGCATGTCTGAAGAACAGTTAACTCTCTGAACAACTGAATTGAAGCAACAAAATGGAATTTGTAAGGGTATATTGTGTAAAGTGAATAAAGCATTACCTTTCTGATGCTGTATCCCACACAGGGCATCCAGGGATTTGAATATCGGAGTTTGACCAGCATTGGCAGGTGACATCTGATAACACATAGGCTACTGTTCGTTCACAGAAATTAGGAGGCAGGGATAATCTGCTAAGCAGAGTTACATCTCTTGACCGTGCTGGTTTTTTACGCCGCATTCAGCAATATTTCAGCTATATGATGACAATCTGTAAATCAACGAGTCTGGACCAAGTCAGTGACTGACTCCATGAACATCAATCTACGCATTTGGAATTAATGATGTGCATCAAAGCAGTCAGAGTGTTTGATCACCCGATCCCTATCCACCTCTTGCCACGAGCATGGGCAAATGCTAACCCTTGATTCTCACGGGGGGACAAGCGTGGTTTGCTGTGGACGAACTCTGTTGATTTGCTGGACGAGTGTATAATGCAGATTAAGCAAGATGGATTTCGATTACTTCTGACTAATCTGTAGTGTAGAGATCCAGCATTATGCATGTATGTATCCTTCTCGTGAAAATTATAGTTCTTACTTTCACGGGTTCGTCTTTGACGCCTTCAAATATGAGACCATCTGGCAGAGGATCTTGGCCATATCTGAAATAAACGTCACAGATGCTAGAATTCAATTTCATTTGAGCTACTGTTACCAGTATGCCAGTTACACAGTCTGCCTATATATAGTTAACGGACATACATCGTGTGTAGGTTGTTCTTGACATAATGATCAAAATGTGCTATTTCTTTAGATAAATAGTTGTGTAATAATTTCAGTGTTGTTTGTGGTACAACCCAACACGCTCACCATTTCTTCCTCTCAGTGTACATTGATTGCCTGAAACTATTACTGCTGATATATCGTTACAAAGGCGCAACATTGTGTCTCAAGCAATATTCTTATGGCGAGCAAGTTGAGTAAGTTAGTCTTAACGTCGCACGCACACTACGTCCGATTTGCGTTGCGTTGCGTCGCGTTGCGTTGCGTTGCGTTGCGTTGCGTTGCGTTTTTTCCGCTCACACTACATGGGTTTGCTATTCCGTTTTTGCTATAGTTTACCTTTGAAAATTTGTAAATACTCCTTATATTTAAATCCTTAAAAAAACCTTACACCATGTATTTTACTATGACCGCGCACACTACAACCGATGCGTAAATGCGATCCGATGCGATGAAAATAGGTGCAGCACCTATTGTTATCGCATCGGATCGCATTGGGATTCCATTTGTCACGTCATTATGTTGTTACAATAGACCATTAGGGGTAGAGTAATGTTTGAGTAATTCTTTTTTTCAGTGACATGGTGCGGTTACTCTTCCCTCTTCATAACATGGCCGAGAACAAGAATACAATAATAAGAATTGTACTTATTTTCTTTTAGAAAAGCGCACGTTTTATATGCTTAACTTATTTGCCAAATATACAAATGTAAATAATTTTGTTGATCAATCTGAATGAGTATTTATATATAAGGAGTATTTATAAGTTTACAATGGTGTACTATAGCAAAAACGCAATAGGAAAACTCATGTAGTGTCAGCAGAAAAAAACGCAACGCAACGCATCGCATAGAAATCGTTTTGTGCGTCGACCCTTTTGTTTAACCAGTAGCTCATAGCGAAAAGGGATTCGAATCCACATTCATAGCTTTCTCGCACGTGCAAGGGGCGCACTCTGTAAAGCGAACTGTTGCGCCTTGGACGACTTCGCCAACCGTCACTCCTAATTCGAAAAAATAATTGTCACTCGATAATGTGTTGTACATTACGAATCGATGTATTTTCAATGACCCAGATATATTTTATCTATAAGGTGTAACTGTTATATATAGAGTATGGGAGGATTATCCTTGTTTCTATTTTACTCTTGTTTGTGAAAGAAAATGACTGATGAACATTTAGGTTCTCAATAAATGGCGATTTTAAAACTCACCCGGTAAAGAAAATACTTAGTTTCGGGAAGAATCCTTCAATCGATAGCTTTTCTGAAATGGAACATTTTCATTATAACACAGTGTTTGTTGCAAAATATTGTGTAGCTTATGTATTAAAATACGAGCCGTTGTAAAGAAAACTTAGCTATCACAAACATGTTGGCATCAAAAACCATGGTTATATCTCGAGGGCCCCGTCTCATCTGGCGACCGTACCTCTGTGATTTAACACATTTGTTCAAATGTAACAGCGGGAACAGTGGGAGTAGCATATGAGATGTGCTTAACTAGTTGTTTGACAAGAAAACTTTGTAGACACACGGTGCAGCATATAAGATGTGTTTAACTAGCTGTTTCAAAAGAAAACTTTGTAGACACCCGTGGAAGCATATAAGATCTGCTTAACTAGTTGTTTCAAAAGAAAACTTTGTAGACACACGGTGCAGCATATAAGATGTGTTTAACTAGTTGTTTCACAAGAAAACTTTGTAGATACACGGTGCAGCATATAAGTTGTGTTTAACTAGCTGTTTCAAAAGAAAACTTTGTAGACACCCGTGGCAGCATATAAGATGTGCTTAACTAGTTGTTCATAAGAAAACTTTGGAGACACACGGTGCAGCATATAAGATGTGCTTAACTAGTTGTTCATAAGAAAACTTTGTAGACACACGGTGCAGCATATAAGATGTGCTTAACTAGCTGTTTCACAAGAAAACTTTGTAGACACCCCTGGCAGCATATAAGATGTGCTTAACTAGTTGTTTCACAAGAAAACTTTGTAGACACCCTGTGGTTATTCAGGGTAAGGATATTTCCCAAGCAGACTTTGCTGGTCGTAAGAGAAGACCAAACTGACTAACTGACTGGGTGGTCAGGCTCACTGACATACTTGTTAGCCCATGATCGTACTTGGAACGCGTAAATCATTCTTCATAATAAGAGTCACTGGATTGTTTAGTCCAGGATCGAATATCAAAAACATCAACCCAAAACCCAGAATAGTTTGTAATAGTTGTTAGAGGGTGGTAGCCCCGAGGGTATCTGTACACATAGCTTTGCAGTGACTGTCCTGGCTCATGTTATCAGCAACTGGTCGACGTCCCCGAGTGTGTTATGTGCAACAATATTTTCTAAGTGCGGCGTTGCACATTATTCACTAGTTGACTGTGTCTGTGTGTTACATACCATGTACCCGTGTCTCAGTGGCCTTCATGTTGAGTACGGCCTCCGCCAGCTGGTTCAGGGATAACGCCATCTTGTTTTGGTCACCTTCATCAATGCCGTCAAGGACGTTCTGAAATGACTGGAGAGAAGGCAAATGACGTTAGGCAAATAGACACGGATCATGCTGCATCCTCCAAGGGGAGCCATGACTGAGAATTTCAAGAAAGGAGTTCGCAGATTTATAGACTTTATCCCGTCTGCTTGTCGAGATGAGAACTTTTTACCCGACGGCTAAATCGAAAAGTGAGATTAGAGAAAATGTACGGAAGTGTCTCGCAAAGTTTAGGCATGGAAGGCCTCGCTGCTGCCTTAGCAACTTGACGTCCCTTATAAGTGCAAAGATCTATTGTCCATGGGTGCGATTGTCCGATTATTACCCATGGTTTGTTAACACCATATCTGTACTGCTGGGTTTCAATGCTATGCTGATGTTCCTTCTATAAAAAGAGATGGCCTTACACAAGTATAATCGAAGTATAAATCACATCAAACGGACATATTGTCCCATGCTGGCAACGGAGAAGATTGATAAAAATTGACCGAAGAGGCCGTAAATTAGGAGATAAACGTACTGTGTTTGGAAATTAGATGAATGTTAGACCGAATTGATAGTCTCTAAATTTCATTTGAAGCCGAACGCGTACTTGACTGACTGTCGAACCTGAACCCTGCAGAATCGAAGAATAGATCCTTTTCTGATCGACCTATGACCTGTAAGTCATCAAAGACTGTTAATTTTTATGACCGGGCCGGCGAGTGTCGATCATGATTTCACGTACGTGCCGCCACCCCGGCATGCGAGGAAGAGTGACAGTACTGCTGCTTTGTGTACCTTCGACTAACTTGGGATTCCTTGGAACATTGTTCTCGTCATTTGGGACTGGATTGTGGCCAAGCTTTTCAAAGTGTACGAACATAGCTGCAGTGACAGCCTTCGGGGAAGGTGGAAGAGAACTAAATTCTCATGGTTACGTTTTTTGACATTTTGAACGATGCAACGGGACATGATGGAGTATGAGTGGGAAATTTTGTGTTTCGCCTGACCCTTATCTTGCGAATTTCCCATTCTAAAGGGAAACAAATATACCATTTACCAGGTAGGTAAATGTTTACAAACGTTTTGCCGCACAAATTGGGATAGATAGGGATGTATTGTTACAAGGTTTTCTGATTTATATGTTAGATATTGTTTGTTTATGTGTGGGGCTGTGTATTGTAATTGAGTTTGAATATTTTTATAATAGAAGGTAATAATTATGATAGTGAGATCCCCTAATAATTGTGGTGGAGAAATCGTATAATTGTATTTTTCGAGTTTTAATAAATGTTTCATCAGTATTTCCATCACGTCTGTTGTGTTGATGTTAGTCATGTTGGTGGCCAAGCTGAAGTAGTGCGGCAGGGTTGTATACGTACGCAGTGAAGCGCCGTGAAATCAGACGCATTTTCAATCCAAATTGATACCGTCTGATTTTGTGGCTTGACCAATCAAATTCGAGCATTTCACGTAGCCATGGTAGAATAGAGAATACTACACGAGGTCTCATTACATACGAATTATACGAAACGAGTGTCCTTCCTATGGTATCTGACCGATAACATAGGAAGGTCACGAGTTTCGTATAATTCGTATGTAATGAACTTTCGAATAATATTTATTTATTACCCACTTCTTACATGCATTAAATTGACAAAATAGCGTATTTTTGTTATTTTGTGGTTTCAAACCGAAACCGGTTTCATAAAGAGGTTGCGGAGTTTTGTACTGTAGTACAATATTTGCATGACGTCACACTGTAATGACGTCACTGCCTTGGTAACCGACGTCAGGATGCATGTCAGTTGTCATCGCCTCGTACAGCCTCCTACAGTAAACTACTCCGTAGCACCCCGTTTCTTGGTTTGCAGTTGCTTCATTCGGCTAACATCACTGGTGGAAACATTGCGTTTATGTTTTTCGACAGATATAATGTCTCAGTTCGACTCACAATTAAACAGCAACACGGCAACGCTCGCAATGTTAACATTCCCACAATGCATCTAAGTTGTAGAATGAATAAATTCACGTGTTTGTTATGAATGAACAAGTAGTTCCGTCACAAGGTGACCTAACTGAGAGGTCATCGGTTATCCAATCAAATCGTTAGAATCTCAGGTCAAGTCGTTACGACACAGGTCAACGCGATACGACACTTGTGTGACGTACGAGATTAGTATGCAACTACCCATACGTTGACCACGTGGGTAATAAACGCTTCTACGCCTCAGCCCGCGGTATGATGTCGTAGAGAAATTGTCGCAGAGAATATTTCAAGTTTCTTGTCTAATATCATATTCTGATGATTTTGTATTAGTTACTCATTCTCATGACCCTATTCTAAAAACCACAGAGTCACTGAGGATGAATGAAAGTAGCCCTGGCATTAAGTATGATTTCACGCGTTGAATAAAAATTACGTATTTCGAGCTATAGTCTTTTATATTCAAATATAAGAACCCAAAGGCACAACAAAACTATACGTGCTTCCGTATGAAATACTTCAACATGGAATAACCATTTCTTGTTTTCTTCACTTATAGTCACCATCAAACACTGGTGTATACTTTCTTTTATTTTCTTACACAGTAAAGAAAACAAACAATCTGGATAATTAACACAAACTTCGTTCACAATGCTACATTGACAGAAAATGGTGACATAAGCTGAATCAGTGAGTGATAATATTTGTTCGAAGTCAGTTACCATTTGGCCAGATCTTCTAAATGTTTGAATATATTTACATAGTTGGATGTGTAAGGTTCACTCAGTAATATCGCATCCCGTCGCCCTGTAAATCACAAAGTCCGGATGAGACAAAGTAGTGATAAATATTTTCGGGCTACCTGCCATCAGCGAAGTCATCGAACCTAGACATCCGGTGAATTAAGTCGCCGCGTACGGCAAGCATAAGGTACTGAAAACTCATGGAGACTTGAAAGAAATTACCTGCATTGCTGCAGCAAAGTCTTGCTCCACCATTGTGCCCACGGCGAAAAACCAGTCCCACTCCGACTTTCCAGGAACGTCGATTATAGCCGCCAAGTTCCTGTGTTGTATAAAACATAAATAGAATAACACACAAAACTGGTCACGGGTGGCCCAGGCATCGAACGCACAAAATTCGCCGTGTAGAGTTATCCCCCTTGGCCACGCCAGAAACCTATGATCTTGGTTTCGGTTTCTGTTTTTCGGCTTGTCAGCTCCATACCCATCTCGTGTGTTTCACCAGTGTGGTAAACGTCTACGATCTACATTACTTATTGTTTTCTTACCACAAAAAGATGACAGGCCGTGATATAACCAGGAACATCTTTAAGGAGGCGTTAACCCCAATCCTCTAACTATTTCACAATACACCTTAATGAAACAAATTATATCAACCTGTAGGCGGATCCTGGGGATCTTCCTCCCCACGCACGCACACGCACATGCACAGACACACACACACACACACTTTATCCTGAAAGTTTATTAAGAGACTATTGAAACTAGAAATGAACTGTGCAACGCCTTTCTCAAAATGCTTTAAAAATGTTCAGACTTATTCATTGTTAGGGCGAAATCCAAGCTTTCTAATGTTCTTGGATGCGCACCTGTTATATCCGGCGTTGTTGAAATTGTACTTTTAACATTTGACGGTCTAACTTCTTGTTCGAAATGACTCACGTAAAGGACGTCCACGTATTCTTGTACTATTCCCAGGACTTGTTTTGTTTTGTTTGTTGTTTTACACCGCACTCAGCAATATTCCAGCTCTGTGGCGGCGGTCTGTAAATAATCCAGTCTGGATCAGACAATTCAGTGATCAACAGCACTATTACCAGGAACTGTGTTAACCCACTGTCATACCAAGGTTAGGTATAAGTTAATACTTACTCTATAGACGCTGGTCTGAAATAAAGAATAAACAATATTATATATATATATATAGATATAGATATAGATATAGATAGATAAATAGATGGATACATATACATATACATATGCATATACATATACATATATAGATTTTGCATGAGCAGCTCAGTATCTAATACATTTAGTCAAAACTGTTATAAAAAGGCAGTTCAAAGGTAGTAAGCGATCGCTGGTCCCAAGTCCCAAGCGCTGCTTAACCTCCAAAACGAGGCAAACAAAATGGCACCATTGTTAAAGCACGTTATTTTCATCAACAGAGAAGCCTTAATTACAGGTGGCATATCGTGCAATATGGGAATACGCCTTTGACGTGCACAGCTCACGTGTTACTCCTTTTGGATATCGGTCTATCAAAACAGGTTCATATGCCCTTGATTTGAGTGCCCTAGGCGGTAGATTTAACTGCCGTCGTTTTTAACAAAGGTCCATAGTATAACGCAGATAAGCGTGTTTGTTCAAGCATTGTTATCGTTCACGAAACTTTCTCTCCCTATCTGGTCTATTTAGCTTAAATAGCAAACAGTGTCCTTTATTGTATGTGCAGAAATTGCTCATCTCGTGTCCTATCCCAAATTCTTCTTCGTGCACTGTCTTGTGTATTACGTTATCAATGATGGATATGATAGTGCCTTATAGTCCTCTTCAAATTAATGCATGCATGTATATATGATAAAGAAAGGTAATATTTCATACCGCAATATACCAGTATCTGACTGTGTACATTTGTATATGGTATAACTTCTGTATAATTCACCTTTTACTAAAAAACGTTTCGTCTTGGCATGGGCAGTTATCTAAACTCAGCAGGTACCTGTTTGGGTCTTTGAAGACCGTGTTGCAGAGGAACAAGTCGGCGTACGTGATGACAGGCGCCAGGTCATACTTTTCATACATTGCATACAGCGGCACAGCAAGAGGCCGAGGAAGTACCTGAGACCCAGAAGAGGAACCTTCTTTCGTTCTCGAACCGTTTGTGTAGCATTTGCATGCTGGGCGAACACGAATGTATGACACATATCACGGAAGCAACTGTAATACACTCATCCCTCGATTTCAAATACCTCTGGGTTCGGTGGGGTAGCCTGGTGATTGAAGTGTTCGCTCGTCACGCCGAAGCCCCGGGTTCGACAAGTGAAGCCCACTTCTGGTGTCCTCCGCCGTGATATTGCTGGAATATTGCTAAAAGCGGCGTAAGACTAAACTCTCTCACTTACATACCTCTGGATCACACATGTCCCTGGTCTGTGATCACACCTACCCTGTGATCACCCCTACCCTGTGATCACACCTACCCTGTGATCACACCTACACTGTGATCACACCTACACTGTGATCACACCTACCCTGTGATCACAATACCTTGGATGATACTTATGTTCAGAATCCATTGGTTTACTATGAAGCAGCAAAATTGTAAATGTCCCTGTTCTCTTGCTATTTGATTGACTCTCATCAAATATATGATGGCGATATTCACCTTTGGCACGTCACTGGGGTCCATCCAGAGATAGCCAGATGTCATAATGACCAGTTGCAAATGGGCCAACTTGATCTCCTTTTCTCCAGACAGACAACTCACGTCTAGCACAGGAAGCTGAAAGGGGACATAACTCACATTCAAACTATCATACAGCAAATTTGTAAGGAACAAGGGCAAAATGTTCGGAACTACTATACTTTAACATTAACGGAGCTTAAACCGGAGCCCATCCAGTTTACTCATTGCTTGAACACAAAATATTTTCTCTCGAATAGAAGAAGCAACAACAAGATCTGACATTAGACAAAAAGAAACAAGGATATTTGGATATGGACTGATATGTATAATGCATACCTTTGGAATTTCAGTCCTTAAAGTCCCATTTTCAATGTGCTTAACCAGACTGAGGGCTATCTTGTTCCAAGGGTCGAAGTAGGGCGGGAGGCGCCTCTGAAACAAATCAGTAACATTCCAACTTATCTTCACATGTATCAGGACCTCAAGGTGGTAGCCGCGGATGTTGTCTAGGCTCCCGGCGTGACGTCTACCACTGTGTAATATCACTCAGTAAGGAGTTACCTGTTCTGGAAATACTGTACTAATGGTCCAAAATAACCCTCTTTGGCTTAAGCTAAATGATTTTAACTTAAAAACAACATTAATCATACACCAAAACACTATTCTCCTCATCAAAATGTTAAATGATCGTGTGTAACAGTATTCACTGAAGAAGTATAATCTGCAGGGCAAAATAAAGCATAAACTAATATCGGTTCTAAAAGTTATTGTGAATACATCAGGTAACTGATGTCCTAATGCCTGTATCATTGAGGCAAGTTTGTGGTTAAAAGTACAAATGCCTTTATTATAAATAGACGTATCGTGGCTTAACCCCCAAATTACAAAGTTAACAGAAACACTGCAAATGAAGGGACTTCCTGAACTGACAACAGATAGCAAATTGTTGGTATGCAAAAAAACTTGATAGCAAGTGTTATGAGGATGTGTTTCAGTTAATTAAATCTAAAGGTCACATTAATTAACTTTTAGTTAATATGGATCACAAAGTTTAAAGCGCTGAGTGTGGATTTGAACGCACATCGTGAACTTGGGCTATGTAATTTCACCTGTTAAGAGAGTAAGCTGAGGGCTTACAGTTACCTCCTCTTTGTTGTTGCTTCCGGGGGTAGACTGTGGGATTCAAGAAGCCTGGTCTATACTGAATTCAACAGCTTCAATCAGTGCATCTGGTTACTGGTAATATCGATACTTTAGTAAGTTAATATTTCATATTTGTGACCTAATATTTTAGATTTGTGCTCCAATATTTAGATTTCTGCTCCAATTGTATTGGGAATCTGTACTGTCATTCATTGTAACCTTGTTTTTATTCAGTATATTATTGAACATTATAGGCTTGTCTTTGTTCCATTTTGCTGGTTTAAAGGGGACTCACAAGACCTTTTGTCACGGTTATTTCTAAATCGTAACACAAGTCATTGAGGGCTATTATTGCAAGAGATGTTGGTTGTGATCTATCGACTTTCAGCCAACTGGCCAGAAACATCTAACTAACCGAAAAGGCCTACAATCGGCCGGGTTTAAAAGCCAGACGACCAAACTGGCATCCTTTGATATCCCCAGAGCATAAAGCAGCACGACTAGCTTGGTGTCAAGCTCGACGTCACTGGAATTTGACGTCATGGGGAAGGGTCCACTGATGGGACAAAAGTCGACCCCTCTTGTTCATGATGGCCAGAGCTATTGTTTGGCATCGCAGGAACACTGCATGTGCACAACGGGATATCTTTAAGGAAGTACCGTTTGGCGAGTTTGTTTTGTGGGGTGCTTCTCACGTGACTGTAAACTTAATCAACTGACATTCAGACAAAATCCCTGAGTGCAGTGTTGTACACATTAGAAAAGACCAGAGTTCAATGCTAGGCCACGTCGTGTACGTGGTTGGTGATTTCTTACATCAAGAGGCGATCGCAACACTTGCTCTGCAGTCTATGTATCAATCCTATACGGATCGCAGAATACGCCACAGAGAGATCCTACCTTAATGTATTGGAACAAGCCCACCATCAAGAATAGAACTCAATACTCAAACGTCAAATTCAACGTATGATACAGCAGTACCGCATGTGTCCCCATCTCGCATTCACAGCAGCGAGGAAACGTTGTCTTACTGACTGACTAACACCCGTGAACACAACAGGCAACCAGTACCATCGTTGTATCAACATGGTGCCAAGCTCTTGAACATTCTTGGTTAATGTCTGAAGGGACGAAGACTCTTTCCAGGAGCATCTCATACGATGGGATTGAGATCAGGTGATCACGATGGCTACTCCATGACGTCATTACACGCATTTTGTAGGAAATTTAGCCATCTGCAGGTGCAGGTGTGCCCAGGGTAGACGTTCATTACGGTTCACCTGTGTCAGAATCGGTCCGACATAAGGACAGCGGGCACGAAGACGGTCAGGTCAGATGCAAGCGGCCCCTAAACAGTGTGTTACTGGTTGACGTTGCGGTTGTAAAACGATTACGCAAATGGCGTAACCTAATTTGACTTTCCAATGCATGGGACGTCACACGTGGCGGTCCTTACCAATCAGACCCGTTTGATGAACACGTGTCCCCAGATTGTGAATTGGCCAGCCTGGAGCATGCAAATTGCAAGTTCAATATTTGTAAGGCGTCACGCTGGCATGAGTATGATTTATCTCTCAAGGATTGTTAATATGGGTTTTTCAAATACAAGCAAATTCTGCACACGTGCTGGTGGTTAGGCACATGCAATTGTGGCCACGTGACCTCGCACACGTGCACGGCCGTGCAAGATCGAGCTGCATGTACCCGGTTGGGCCTGGCTATAATGGCATTCGCCCATTTTAACAACCTTTTGTTTGTTCGGTATATTCACTCAAGCATAACCGCTGCGGTATTTATTCTCCAGGCTGTGTTATATCCTGGTGTAAACAAGGTCACACAGAACTGCTAAGTTCACGGTCTAGTGCCCATGGATAGATGACACAGATAATATGTGCAATGACAGCAAGGTATCTATAATGGGAAGCGGAGGGATTACGTTTCAAACTATATAAATGTCACGTTTTACAACACGCAATGTTCTTCGAAAGAAAAGGCATATTATGACAACTCTTTCCTAAACTAGGATGTCCAGTGTTTAATTATTTGTTTTTGCCCTATTAGAAATGCAGTATACTGTAAGCATTTAAATGAACGATACCTAGTATAAAGTGTGCAGTAGGGTACCTATCCAATTTTATCATATCCAATCGGTATAAAAAAACAGCAAATACTGTAGGGGATATAATATAGGATATATCATAGGGCATGTATCGAATATAGGATATACCATAAAGTATCAAATATAGGATATATCATACGGTATTTATCCAATATAGGATATACCACAGAGTACCCAATATAGAATGTACCACAGGGTATACCATAGGGCAATGTATCGAATATAGGACATACCATAGGCATCAAATATGGGATGTGCCATCGGTCATACAATACAAGATATTCCATAGGGTATGTATCTAAATCAGGATGTGCCATAGGTCATACAATACAAGATATACAATAGGGTATGTATCTAAATCAGGATGTGCCATAGGTCATACAATACAAGATATACAATAGGGTATGTATCTAAATCAGGATGTGCCATAGGTCATACAATACAAGATATTCCATAGAGTATGTACATATATCTAAATCAGGATATGCCTTAGGTCATACAATACAAGATATATCATAGGCTATGTATCCAAATCAAGATATACCATAGATCATACAATGCAAGATATACCATAGGGTCAAGACAGGCCATATGGTATGTATCAAAATCAGGGTATGCTATGGCTCATACAATACACGATATATAGTAGGGTATACATTACAGGCTTTGCAACACGGCAAAGTTTATGACATCGTTTGAATAATATTAGCATAATGACCATTATAATCTGAGCATGCTGTATAAGTGGTGTGAAGTGTATGATATAGATGACATGTTGCTGGCATAATGACATAGTTATGATCGGACAATGCTGTATATCACTGAGTGTTTTTTGAACAGTATGGTTTACTTCTAGTGTCGTTAACATAATTATGATCGGAGAATGTATGAATATTTTAAGTATAACATGGTTTGAATATTGTAACACAACCCAATATTAATTATCTTTAGAATACATGTTTAGTGAGTAGTTTTCTCGTGTTTATGTGGAATGAGGTCATTGACTGACAATCATGCGCAGAACCGTTTTAACACAATACCGGTTTATATGCGAACTCACTAGTAGCTGACCTTATTCTCAGACAGACAGGGGTAGATTACAACCAGTTTAAAACAAGGGACCAGGCATCTATTTCGGGGCAGTTGAGTGAGCGGCCACCACAATTAAGGGGCGTCGTAGTAAAGGGGAAGTGTACACGAATAAATCTTGCCCTTTAAAATAATTCACATGTTTAGAGAAATTTCTGTAAACATAGACATTTTATAGTTAAATGTAAGTGCTTTTGCATGTACAAGACGAAACGTCGTATTAACTGAAATACATATTATGTTTAATAGCTGTTGAATTATCTCCCTTGTTATGCATTATTTCTAATGTCTGTTACACAAGTCCTTTTGCAAATTGGATTTCAGGTTGGGTTGTCCAACAAATGGGAGGGTTATACCAAAGTATGACAAGTTGTGGGAATGCAGTATAAAAATCATCAAAGCCTCACCCCACATAGTTCGACACCCGCACCCACGTTCCCCACCCCTATCCCTCTAATACTCAACCCAGCAAGCATCCCCGAGCAGTCAGAAGTGTACTTACCAGGGGGGATTCAAGGATGAATCCCGTTTTCATAGATATTTCGTAGTCCGTCAAAATCAAACGCGACATTGTCCTTTGGTACATCAGCGACACGGATTCAAAATTACTTATACAGATTTAGGTCCAACGACATACAGGACATACAGCAGTAACATGCATAAGTTATAAATATAGATCCCATTATACAGTGTACCATGGCCAATAGACTAAGGCTTAGTCTCTGAATATATATAATTTTGATAGTAACAAACAAGCCCATTTATATTGAAAAGGAGCCCTAGGGAGACCAGAGATTCAGAACCGGAGGAAATCTAGACTTGCTTTATTTAGGGCTTTAGCACTGCATAGAAGGCTTGGCAGTAGGGAAAATAATGTGGTTCAGGGACTGTGAGACAGACTACATGGCCAAGTACTGGAACAGCTGTGCTGTTTACAGCCCGTAACATGTATTAGCAATTGGAATTTTGTGTTACTTACAGCCCGTAACATGTATATGCAATGGGGATGTTGTAAGTGTAGCGTTTGTTGGAGCGTTGTCGTCTACTGACTGGTTATTAGATTTAAACAAATGCTACGTATAACTCAGGTACAAGACTGTCTGTTGCGGCATTATTTTTTAAGGATGGACGGTCAAAATTATTCATGTCTCCGGTATCTTCACCCACATTTGGCCCCTTGTGTAAAGCACAGGAGCTTGTAACGCTAAAACTGCCACCAGGGTATGTACTGTCACTAACAGGGTCTTAGCACTATATAAAAGGCTAGTGATCCAGCAAGCTTGAGGTAAAGGGGTCGAACCCACCTGTGACCGGGTGTAAAATCCTTGGAGTCAACTTTGTGTACAGACTCTTTCAGTGTTGTCACAACCCCTAGTGTACAGTACACAACCCTGTGCACTTAAAAGAACCCACGAATCCGTTGGTATATGACCAGATGGTGGCCACATGAATACGTGCAAACACCTAGATGCGGGTACAGCAACGTGCAGCAAACTTGACTATGTGTCCCAGTCCACCCAGCTGTGAATGGGTACCTCGTAAGGATGGGAAAGCCACACTAACTCGGTGCGCCTAGTGGCTGCAAGAGTTGTATACTCCCAAGGGAGTTGAGAGGGAAAAACAAAGCGCCTTTGAGCAGCTGGATATCGGCGCTATACAAATGTATGTATGTATGTGTGTGTGTGTGTGTGTGTGTGTGTGTGTGTGTGTGTGTGTGTGTGTGTGTGTGTGTGTGTGTGTGTGTGTGTGTGTGTGTGTGTTTTATATTTTATATAGTGCTGAGACCCCGTTAGGTACTGTCACTAACGGGGTCTTAGCACTATATAAAAGGATTTTTATATTTTATATAGTGCTGAGACTCCGTTAGTGACAGTACATACCTTGATGGCAGTTTTTAGCGTAACAAGCCCTTGTGGTGTAAGGAATATCTGGCCGTAAGGTTCCACTCCTTGGCCGTGCCATAGCAAAAGAGGTCTAACGGGTGGTACTTGTTGTTACCTGCCCGTCGCTAAGAATTTAAGGTTTTGGAAGGGTTGAAACAAGAGCCGGTATTATGTGTTGGAGTGCTCCGTCAGTGTAAAAGGTATATCCGTGGACTAGCATCACGCAGCCCTCATAAGTCCGGTCTAGCACGAGCAGACACTTAAACGTGCATGCAATGTAAACGAATCAACCTCACACAGGTTTGTGTGTGGTGTTTACCTGGGCGCCAAGTTATATACTAAAGGGAGACTACTCTTTCAGCTTTAAGATTCCCTCGTTTCACATGGTTGGCTTGGTTGTAGTTGAAGTGAAAGAAGAAGTTCGAATCTATGGAACATGAATGCCGCATAATTATTTGTTTATCTACAAGAATATATATTTTCATGTATCTTCTATATTTTGCTTGACCGTGTGGGCTTTGCAATTACAAGAGATTCACATTATCAAACAGCGAACCTGAAGACTTTTTACCCATGTGAGCTGTCATCTGATACTTAATTACATGAAGGAAATTGATCTGTACCGCAAACAATATAAATACATTTTTTATTGCCAACGGCTTGTTTTAAAATCTGCTCTTTGTTTACAGTGTTATCCTTTGCAGTGAGTGAGTGAGTTTAAATTAAAAGTCACATCGGCAGTATCTCAGCTATATCGTGACTAAGAAAGTTGTAAATTAGTAAATGAATAAAAACCAAAATCGTTGTTCATCACACCAACTTCGAAATGCCACTCAAATAAGCCACTAACATTTATCTATTTACAAAACATATGTCACAATTTGTGTAGCAATTCTATTTCTTTTGAAATACCAATAATTAAATGAAAAAATGAAAATTAACAGAAGTAAAAAGATCCTTAATGTTTTTCCATTGAAATACTGGTCCCGTGTGATGGAAACATCAATACAGTCAAGCAGGACATTCTCTCATCACAAGGGATGCAAAACGGAGGATCCTCACTTTTCAATAAGCATTCATGTGTATTTTTGGAACCACTGATAATTGTGATCAGTATTGCATATGGATTCAGAAAAAAAATGGTGCCATTTTTTCTGATGATTGTAAGTGTCATTCTGGGGTAACTGAACATCGGTACCCATAATCGAGCTGCAACACCAATGTGAGAAAACATATTTATATAAGCCTATCACAACATAGGCATGTAGTATATCAAAATGTACCTTGTGATGGGTGTTTTACAACTACGTGTACCATTATATATCACGAATCTCAATAATATATGTATGCATAATAATCCCTATGATCATAAGTGCTTCTGCCAAAACAGAAGGCTTGTTACAGAGGGTATGCATTCAACTCTGTGTGTGTGTGTGTGTGTGTGTGTGTGTGTGTGTGTGTGTGTGTGTGTGTGTTGTGTGTTGGCATCTTTACTCAAATACTACTTGATGTATTTCAATGAAACTTTCTGGATCTCTTGGGTATGTCCCCAGGACAAATCAATTAGATGTTGAAAAAGTACACTCTTCAAGAAAAGAAACGGAAAACCAAAATATCTTTGAAAAATTTGGTCTTATTCAATTATGTAAATCAATGAAAATAAACGGCACAGCATTGAATTTATGTAAAGCAATACATTAGTATCTCATGCACAATTCACAAGAATGACAGTCATCATAGTCATTACTGCTGTCGACGACTGACTGACTGATTGAGTTTAGTTTTACGCCGCTTTTAGCAATATTCCAGCAATATCACGGCGGGGGACACCAGAAATGGGCTTCACACATTGTACCCATGTGGGGAATCGAACCCGGGTCTTCGGCGTGACGAGCCAACGCTTTAACCACTAGGCTACCCCGCCGCCCCTGCTGTCGACGAGGTGACGTTGACGTTACTGCCTTGTATGGCAACCTCTTACTGCTAGAACTGCACGCCACCTCCTTGACACAGATTGAATCAGTTGTTGGATGTTTCGTTTTGGAATCCCCCATTCCTCCTGCAGCATGTTGAACAACAGTTACTGTTAAAGCTTCAATGGCGGATTACGACGTTGACGTACACATCGATATATCAAGCGGCCGTAAGATTGCCTTTGACGAGCACTAATTCCGATCTGCAGGTGTATAAGATGGCTCCCCGCATCATCACACCATCTCCACCAAATCTGTCCACTTGCCTAATGCATTTGGATACAAATTAAAACTTTCTTTACGTGGTCTGTAGACACGTTGTCTTCCGTCACGTCGCTTGAGGGGATACCGCGATTCATCACTGAACCATGTGTGCCTCCAGTTTCCAAGGCTCCATGGCTGCACCACGTTACACCGCCTGACTCACGGACGTTGATGTAATCGTGTTAGAGAGGGGGCAACGTGTGGACGTCTGGCACGCATACCTATCTCTCGGAGACGGTTTCTGATTGTCTGGTCGGACATTCTCCGGGCTCAAAACCGCTCTTACGCTGTGTCCCGGGAGGAATGATGGGAGTCACGGAGGTGGGTAACCCGATGTAGCGATCTTGGGCTGTGTGGTGACTCACGGTCTTCCTGGTCTTGGATGGTCATTTGTCGAAGTGGAATGCACAACACGATCCCTCAAACGAGTGCAAATCATATTGGAAATCTACAAGGGCAATATTAAACATATTGCATGCAACTTACTCTCTGGTGTCCTCCGATCAGTTAGACGTCCAATTTGTCAGACACGTTAAAACAACAAAAGTGTTGGTTGGTTACACTCAGGTGCACTGTTACCTTTATTGAGTACTGGATTGATCCAAAGTTATGTGCATAAGAATATATTAAGCGATATAATTAATAGGATCTGTAATGATGCATCAAACTGTCGATGAATTGTAATTGTTGAGTCTCCGATAGCAATTAATCGATGGTAGAAATGAAAAACTATCGATGCATCGATCGTATGTGTGACTATCGATAGTTTAGTGATGGTTATTTATTCTTATTAAATATTTGTGTTGTTTTTTTTATTTGTTTAGGTGCAGCTTGCAGCTTCATTGAGTTTTAATCGTTTAGTCGATCTTGGTTTAAAGTTTCTTGTCAGTTATTCATAGGGGGAGCAGAGGAAGCCCAACAGCCCTTCGTATCCACCTCTGTACCTCTGGGAGTAACTTAATCAGTTACATGGGAAATCTACAATCCTGTTTTGATCAAAGTGAACATTAAGAACACAGAGTGGGAGAAGTCATGCTCCTGATTTGATCAAAGTGAACATAATGAACACGAACTGTGAGAAGCCGGTCAATAAACAATAGTATTCTGATCAAAGTATTTCTGCACAAAAAGTAACAAACTCATAATTAGTGTTAAAATATACCACTAACCACTAATATGAAAACATCTCGCTAGTCCATGGAATAGGTCTATTATGTCAGGTTGTAATCACAGTCACGCCTGATTGATCCAAAGTTGTCTGATAATTGACGTGTCTGACGAATGGGATGTCTAACGTATGAGAGCAAAAGCATACATGGAATACATTTGCAGCGAACAGGCAATTGGAGACCCCCTTCTTCATCTCGGTTAAATAAAAAACCCAAGTTGCTCATATATACAGGATGTACACGAGGACTGCAACAAGTCACAATGGATTGACAGAGTGACAATGAGAGCTATCTATAAACTTAAGTACAAAGAAACGCTACAAACAAAAATTATAAAATATGAATTACTAAAAAAATTTTAGTTTCCAGGTACAGGAACTATATCACCCGAACACATCTTAGGTGTTTACAAACAAAATTGGAACAGAATCCTTGCTTTGTACACTTCCAAACAAAACATGAAATGCACGTTTTTAGTCATTAAAATACAATTTTCGTTCGACTGGGGTATAAATTCGATGCAGAAGGCAAGCACAGCATCATTGTCTCAAAACGACACCAGAAGAATGCCGAGATTGACAGCGCAGCAGCGAGAAAGAGCATTGGGAATGTTGGAGATGGGCGCCACTCACGACCACGTCGCTCAAACCCTCGGCTGTCACCGCGTAACAGTGTCAGACTCGTCCAACGATATCGACAGACTGGCCAGACTACTGATAGACCCAGAACTGGCCGACCCAGGGTTACAACACCACGCGAGGACCGGTACCTGCGCACATTGCACTTGCGCAACCGTTTCCTGACGGTGACGTCATCGGCGGCGTTGGCGTTAGGTCGTCGTGTCAGTCGACACACAGTGACCAGGCGGCTTAGAGCTTTTGGCATCAGGGCTTACAGACCGTTCCGGGGACAGCGGCTGACCCAGGCACATCGACAGAGACGACTGGAGTGGGTACGGCGAGTACGACGATGGCAGCGACGTCAATGGCAGCGAGTGCTCTTTAGCGACGAGCAGATTTCTCTTGTACCGAAACGATGGCGGGGCACGGGTTTATCGTCGTACTGGAGAACGACAGGCCGCCTGTTGCGTTCAGGAGGTCGTTCCCTATGGAATGGGAAGTGTGATGGTGTGGGGAGGCATTTGTGGAGAACAAAAGACGCCACTGGTCATCGTCAATGGCAACCCTGACGGCCAGACGGTATATCGATGACATTCTTCGCCCCACAGTACTGCCATTTATGCGCAATCGCCAACAGGGCATCCTGCTTCAGCATGACAATGCAAGACCCCATGTGGCAAGAATTACACAGAACTTCCTTCAAGCAAACAACGTTAATGTTCTTCCGTGGCCAGCATGCTCCCCTGACATGTCACCAATCGAGCACTTGTGGGACGCTCTTGATCGTCGTGTTCGGCGCCGTCAACATCCCCAACAAACCGTCAAGAACTCGCTGACACCCTCCAAGAAGAATGGCGGAACATTCCACCTGCTGACGTCAGACGACTGACGTCATCAATGCGTAGAAGGGTCTATGCATGTCTTGAGGCGCGAGGAGGCCATACTCGCTACTAGAGTTCACCATAGTCATTGCTATAGACTTTTCTTTAGCAGAAGTTTATGTGTAAAAATGAAAATGAAATTGCTGAAGTGTCGTTAAAAGAATCCTCTGTAACATTGGTACCATATCGTTATTTATAATTGTTGACAATCATCAAAAACTTTTTATGTCAGTCGTCTCAATAAACTTTATTGCATGTTTCTAGTGTTTGTGGTTTCTTCACAGGGTAATTTTGAAAAGTTGGTAGCGTTTCTTTTGTACTTGAGTTTAAAAATGAGTTGATATTTGTGTCATGATGCTCTTAAGCATACACTCATTCATTTACAATCTCCAAAACATGAATTCTGAGCGAAATTAAACATTCTCGCCCATGGTGCACTGTTTGCCCATGGGCCGGCGAGTTTAAATTTCGATTTTTTCGAAAAAATATTTTTTTCATTTTTTCATCCTAAGCATATATTCATAACAACTGCATGTTTAATTTTGTTGAATCCCTTGTCAGAAAGCGTCCACAGTGCGGAGAGTTTCTTGACTTTTGTGAGTCCAGAATTAAATTGTGACGTGTTTTATCTATTGTTTATATTTACGTTTTTTATTATTATATATTTAAGAGCTGTTAATATGGCGTTAGCTTCTTCTGTGAAAATAGAGCTGTCATCTGGTAATCTAGAAGATATTGTTCTGGATCCAATGATAATGGCACAAGCAACTGAGCTACCATCCCTGGACCCATCTGTAAATAAAGACTCATATGCATTATATATATTTCTTATTTGACTAAATTCTTGTTTATATTGTAATTCATTTGTTTCTGACTTTTTGAATGTGGTTAGTGTTAGGTCAACTTGTGACCTCCCCAGTTGCAAAGGATGAGAAGAAAGAGGATGGGAAGGAGATATATTTTCCAACTCAATGCCAGCAGCAGAAATGAATGGTTTAATTCGTATCCCAAGAGGTGGAACAAGTGAGGATTTTCTATCTCAAACATTTTTTGGTCAGTTATCGTTTGTAAGTATTGATGCAGCCCAATCTTTCAAACTGTAAATATTATTGTGATGTAGGAGTGTGTAAAAGGACACTTGCTTTTGAGGTTCATTCGTTGTTAATGACGTACTTGTGTCGATGTGTAGCTTTGGTCTCGTCTATATAACCCGTGAAGGTCCGGGTTAGAATATTGATCTTCGGTAACCCATGCGTATGCTTGTCGTAAGAGGCGACTAATGGGATCGGGTGATCAGGATCGCTGACTTGGTTGACCACATGCCATGGGTTCCCAATTGCGCAGATCGATGCTCATGCTGTTGATCACTGGATTGTCTGGTCCAAACTCGATTATTGACAGACCGCCGCCATATAGCTGGAATATTGCTGAGTGCGGCGTAAAACTAAACTCACTCACTCACTCATCTCTATATGATTGAAATAATCCCGATGCGACATAAAATCTCAGCTCACCTCACTTTCATTCCACAAACCTGTCGGCTCATCTAATATGTTATAAACCTCTATTTTTAGCCAGTCTGAAAAAAGTTCCTCATCCAAGTTGCAAAGTTTACAGCAAATATAATCATCTACTTGTACAGAAGAACTATAGCGAGAATAAAACAGAGCTACTCAGTTGAGGGGTCTTGTTTTGTGATTGCGAAATCGACAAGTATGTATTTGCTCAACCAGGAAGCTGTGACGTGTTTTGCACACGGCCCGCAAGTAGCTCTCGCCGCAGGGCCCAGTGAAGCGTACTCCAGTCTGCGATCGGTATTTGGGATACCACTTTGACGTCGTTCGCTCAGGTAGGTTCACTCAAACTAAGATACATCAGGTCATTTCTCCTCCTCGATATATCCTTGCTGATATAGGGATGAAATGGAAGTTTGTGTACAGCTGTTTTTCGAGAGGACAATGCTTGTATTCTCTGAATTAGTTTGTTATTCCACGGCTTACAGATGACCCTGGTTTAAGGGCAGTGAGAAGGAACGATGGTGGGTCTCTGTAACAGGACCTAGTTGATGTGTTTTACACAGGTGACCTTGAATACATGTCTAGATCTAAAACCACTTATATACAAGACACGGATAAATTGTGATGGGGTACAACCATTTTACTTCAGGAAAGAGTTGATAAGGTGACGCTTCACGATTGTCACCGAGGAAATTGTTGAGATGCAATATCTTCTGATTTCTCATAATAATTATGAAAGCGAAACTCCCCAAAATGTAACTCATGGTGTTTAAAAGTGCTAATTAAAAACATCTGTCTTATGAACTAACATGTAGTTTTGCTCTGCTTACAATAACATTATTAAGAGACTCCTTCTTTTGAAAGTATACAATGTTTTCATAATTATAACTATCTATCTATGGGGAGCATATATCGTCATAATCACTATCGAATACACCGTAAATCTGCTGTCATTGGGCTTCTTATTACGTGAGATATAACGCAGGTGTCAATAAGACAATTAAACATAAAACAATTTTTAGATTATCAAATACTTCTTCGGACAATAGGTACATTGTATCGCACAGCTGGATCATAATTAACAGTTTCACAAAATTCAATTCGTTCATATTTGTATTATTCGATGACATCACATGCAAATGATCGAACCGGCTGTCATGCATAGCATAGCCCCACAAGCCGGTAGAGCTCATCAGTAAATATATCTAATAGATAAAGGATGTTTAATGGGAATCATTATATAAACTTTATCTGATATCGTGCCTCACTGCAGGGTAGTTTTCACTCTATATCCCGGGGCGGTGGGATAGACTATAGTGGATATTTTAAAGCGTCTGCTCGTCACGCCCAGGTTCGATTCCCCACATGGGTACAATGTGTGAAGCCCATTTCTGGTGTTCCCCGTCGTGATATTGCTGGAATATTGCAAAAAGCGGCGTAAAACTAAATTCACCCACTCACTAAATCAAATATAGTTATGGCCATGTTAAAACGCTGCTGTGTATGCCGACTGTATATACCCGTATTGACACTAAACGAAGACATGGTATTACGGTTGATTGTACATTGTGATGGACTGACTGACTGAGTTTGGTTTTACGCCGCTTTTAGCAATATTCCAGCAATATCACGGTGGGGGACACCAGAAATGGGCTTCACTCATTGTACCCATGTGGGGATTCGAACCCGGGTCTTCGGCGTGACGAGCCAACGCTTTAACCACTAGACTACCCCACCGCCCCACATTGTGATGGAAGCAACGGCTTCTGAAACGTGTGAGCGTGTAAACACTATATCAAAATATACTTAGAATATAGTGTTTTTGTTCCGTTCAGGAATCTAATGAATTCGAGACGTCAAATGTGATGTAGACGTCTATGTGAGCTGAGAATGTGAATGAATACGCGGAGTCTAGCGTATTGACAGGTTATGTTAGATAATAACAACAATGATCACGAGTGAGTGAGTATGGTTTTACGCCACGTTTAACAATATTCCAGCAATATCACTGCAGGGGACACCAGAAATTGGCTTCACACATTGTACCCGTGTGGGAAATCAAACCCAGGTCGGCTGCGTGACAAGCGAACGCTTTAACGACAAGGCCACCTTACCGCCCTTTTAAATAACCACGATGGCGATGATAATGATGGTTTTGTTCGCTCTTAATAATGATAATAAGTGTGTACATTGTTCAATACGGAAAATACAGTCGCGTGATGAGGATATACGAAAAACGATCATATTTCGGTTCCGCCTCCCGTCAGTAAGTACGAAGACATAAAACCACGTATCTGTTGATCTAAAACAAAGACCAGATGTCAGCACACCCGATAACATTGTTCATATTGACAACACACACCCATAAACAAACTACTCAACACTTAAACCAGACATTTATATTACACCATATGAACCTCCATATTTATGTGAAGCTACAGACAAAGCTGGGAGCTTGTGTAGACTGCCCCAGCAAATCAGCAGTGCCACATGGGGTGCATGTTACTTCATACAAAAAGGCTGGATATGCTTTCTGTGTGCATAGTGGGTTCTAGATTCACATAAATCAGCGTCGTAGCTCGTATTGCCCACGGCCGTGGAGACGTTGCGAAATGGCGTGTCCTGTGTCGGCAATATGTCGGAGAATTGTGTGAAGTACTATTCCATGAGTGTTAGATATTTTTGTTGGTGTTTCACTCCGTACTCCGCGATATTACATGTATTTGATGGCGGCCAGTCAATTAATGGCTGATAGCATGAGCGTCCAGTTCCGTCAGTACGTTCACACGCCATTAGCTGTCTATGTAGCTTACGACATGCATACTCAGAATACCCGTAGTAGTAGTAGCAGCAGCAGCAGCAGTAGTAGTAGTAGTAGTAGTAGTAGTAGTAGTAGTAGTAGTAGTAGTAGTAGTAGTAGTGGTGGTGGTGGTAGTCCCATAACGTTTTCATGACAAAGTGACGCACTCATATTGAAAATTCAGAAACCTACAAACTCATTTTGTGACAAGGGGCGGTGGGGTAGCCTAGTTGTTAAAGCGTTCGCTCGTCACGCCGAAGGCCCGGGTTCGATTACCCACATGGGTACAATGTGTGAAGCCCATTTCTGGTGTCCCCATCCTTGAAACTTGATATTGCTGTAATATTGCTAAGAGCGGCGTAAAACTAAACTCACTCACTCACTCATCTGGTTTCATAGCAACAGTGTTTTGACTACTGTTTGACTGCTGTTTCCAGGAGCTTTCACAGCACAGTTCTCAGTTCTTGCCACATATGGAGTAACATACATTGCTCTTGTACCAATGTCTTGATCTAAGGCAGAAGTCGACGGATGAATCGCAGCTAAAGACTCATTACTTCCGTGAAGCATACAACATCTAACTTTCCATAAGAGTCTCAAGCGCTGCAGAGCAGTTTATTTCTGGATATGGCGCTATATACGTTTTTCCATAGATAGATAGATAGATAGATGGATAGATAGATAGATAGATGATTATACTACCCTGTAATAAGGAGCCTAGATAAGCGTATAGGATGCTCGTCATTTATTGGGACATCATATTTCTATTGTTTGTGGTATATAGGGGTTATGATTTATACTCAAACTCATTGCTTTAAACACGTGTGCAGGTCTAAAACTTTATCAGCAAATCCCATCCTCATTAAGCGATCTAACCTTATGATTGGCGTAAGTGTATGTGACGTATTGTTACGACAGTTTCCGATAGGTGTACATAACGCTTATACCGCTTTGTGAAACACGGCCAGTGTGTCGTAGACATATGTGAAAATAAGATGAGTGCCATAAATAGAATTGTTGATGCATATATCATTATACCCAACACGAAATACCCTTATCATGAGATCATAATTCACCCTTAGCTACAGTGAACAAAGACACATTTATGTTGGTTGGGTAGTCATTATGTATAGCTCCCATATCTCTTTTGTATGAACAAACAACACCATTGCGCAATTGTAAAGCGTATCACTCGTGGTGGACTGGCTGACTGTACGTAAACATGGAACATTTCCAGATATTGTCGTACGGATGACAATGTCGTGGTGTTGAAGAGCGTCAGCCCCGTCCTGATAAAAGCTCTTGCCCAATGTCAACATGCATAGCAACCATACAAGAATGCCGTCAGTCAGGCTACGTTGCGTCACATGATACACATATTGGCTCGTTGACTGATATCTTATTACTCTCGGCTCGTATATAATCTTTATAATGGGAACGGAGATGGTAAAGTGCGTGCGTGGGTGCGTGCGTGAGTATGTATGTTTTTATGTATGTATGTGTGTGTTTGCTAGCGTGTGTTCTTGCGTGTGTGTGTATGTTACAGACAATTTTGGCGAGAGTACAGCGGCATCTTTGAGGTCTGAGATAAATGAAGTAATTAATTGTGTTATGTACTTTTTGGACTGGCCTGGTGTGCTGGTATGTTCACTATGCTGGTGTGTGGATGGGTACTGGATGGTATACCTCATTGTTTCTCCCCTCAGGCTGCTATTCTATCACTATCACTATGCGATGTATGGCACCCCTCAATCAGGTATAAGCTAACAGCTGCCGTGTGTTTCCCACAATCAGCTAGAGGTCTTGGTACGATATTACACAGCCAGACTATAATGAAGCTACCAGTATGTGCCGATGGCTTCTTCCCACAAATCCTTTATTGCCTGTCGTTAATATCTACCTGGGGATTTGTTTATGTCTGCACTCCGATTTACGATACTTAGTCTCTAAGTGCTGACCTATAGAATAACAGTGCAATGTAACATCTCTACGTGTGTGCGTGTTGTTGCTTGTAACGCTGGCCTATGATGAGTTGTGACCCAGCTGTGCCAACCTACTGAACGACGTCGCAAGTATGGCTGTACCAGATGCAGAAGATTGATGCAGCCGTGACGTACATGTCTGGTGAACATCTGGGGTCGATATCGTCACCGAAACTGTATAATTCATCTGCGGCATGTTGCGGCGGGGAGGAGGGAGGAGAGAGAGAGAGAGAGATATTTTAGTTCAGTTAACTCTTTTCCTTTGAGTAAACTACCCTATATATGGAAAGTGGAAAGTGGTGGTTTGCTGTTTAGAAATTTGTGCATTGGTAATTCAAATTATCGTTCGCCTTACGGAACTGTTAAACCACATGCCCTAACAATAGCGTCAGTAGCAACGCCACAGACGCCGGGTGGGATCCTTTACTGTCCCTGTCATTATTATCCCTGACTGTCCCTGGCATTATTATCCCTGACTCTCCTGTCATTATTATCCCTGACTGTCCTGGCATTATTATCCCTGACTGTCCCCTGGCATTATTATCCTGAC